GGATGGATGGATGGATGGATGGATGGATGGATGGATGGATGGATGGTATCAGTACTAGCAAGTTGCAGTACTTGTACTTGGTCTGAAAACAACTAGTGTCGGGACACTAACGGATAACGTGAATAAGCTGTGGCTACTGTTCGGTGCTTAACTATATCAATGTTTTGAAACAACTTGTGCATCGTGTAACGTCTGTTTTAAGTGTTCTTGTTAATTTTATCTAAATTATTTTTATAATATATATAAAAATATATATTTTTTATACATGGTGTGAAACGTGGAAAATTCTTGGTCTACAGTACTCAGCTTTATAAAGGAAAGAGTGAGAATAAAAAGAAATCCCAGAAGAGTTCAGGAGCAGTTCATTACTCCGTAAAAATATAAAATAAAAATGTTTCTCAGCACAACATCAACGTTAGCTTTTAAAACATTTAGTATATAAACACATAGGAGCCAATTGAATTCATACCCATTTTTTTATTTTATTTTAACGGTGAAAGAAATATTGTAAACATAAGCGTTGCAGAACGAGAAATTTAAAAGCCGTAAATATAAATAATAATCATTGCTTCATCTGAAGGAGAATTTGTTTTACAACGGAAAGCTAAAAAAAATGTTAATGAATTTGAGGATAATGGATCTTCTTTGATACTGAAACACTGTAATCACATTTCCTCTTTCATTGACCTTGAAATTTAGGTTTATAATTAATAAATGTCAATAAAGATTTGTGTTTATTTACAAATGTGTTTGTATAAATGTAAGATTATCCTGTAACTAATTAAAATACAAATCCAGATATGTTGTCGGGGTTATAATGTAAATAGTATTTGGGGTTAAAGTTCAAAACGTCACAACTTTATTGTTCACGTTGTTTACGCGGGGAGTTCAAAGTTCACCAGTTCGCCTTTGAAAATGGCGGCCGAGTGGACACGGGAGTGGAGCGATGAGCAGCTAAAAAGTGATGATTTGCCCAAAAAAGACATAATAAAGTTCATCCAGGACAATGCAGCACACTCGGTATGCTTACCCCTTTAGGTTCAGACGGTTTTTATTCGGATTTACTTGTGTATTTTGTGCCGTAAATGTTTATTTCTGGGCTGCAGCATGCTGCAGGGTTAGCTACATGTTAGCGTTGAACACGAGATGAATCACTGCAGCGTTCCCCCTTTTTTCTCTTCCAGTTTCTCAGTGAGCACAAGCTGCTGGGAAATATAAAAAATGTGGCCAAAACCGCAAAGAAAGACCAGCTGATCGTTGCTTACAATCAGCTCTTTGAGAGCAAAGTAAGTGATGTTAAGAGGCGAGTTATTGTTTTGCTGCTTCAGCAGCCATTGTTGACGAGCAGTGTGTGCACTTGTGTGTTGCAGAGGTTTAAAGGCACAGAACCAGAGGAGGAGGTGACCGAGCAGATTAAAGCTGTGAAGATTGAGGAAAAGCCCAAAGACGTCAAGGCAGAAGTTGTAGATGAGGTGCTCGTCCATGTAAATAAATATTAATTTCCTGATTTCAGCATAACGGTCTAAAAATCAATCTTTCACTGCTTGGCTCAGGGTCCTCCAAAGTACACCAAATCAGTCCTAAAGAAAGGAGACAAGACCAACTTCCCAAAGAAGGGTGAAACTGTGAGCTGCTGGTACACTGGGACTCTGGAAGATGGAACAGTTTTTGACACAAATATACCCACAAGTATGACAATCTGCAGAAACACGTACATAAACAATGTCGTCATGTGTCTAATATTCTGACAAGAACATCTGAGCCTGTTTGTAGCAACCTTGAACAAACCCCTTCTTGTTTTGCATCACCCAGCTTACAATTTTGATTAGTAAAGCTCAAATCCTGAACTAATCTTTACAAACGTTGTTGTTCCAATGCAGCTGCAAGAAAGAAGAAGCAGTCTAAACCTCTGAGCTTCAAAGTTGGATTGGGCAGAGTCATTAGAGGAGTAAGTTTTTGTTTGTTTAAATTGTGCCATGTGCTTTCACATAATTGTTACATCACACTCGTGCACATCCTGTCATCGTCGCAGTGGGACGAGGCCGTCCTGACAATGAGCAAGGGGGAAACGGCTCGAGTGGAGATTGATCCTGAGTGGGCTTATGGAAAGAAGGGCCTCCCTGAGTCCAAGTATCCTTTTATTGTGCGTTTTGCTTCAAAATAATCCTAAAATATGCAATCCCAATTCTATACAATTTTTGATGTGTAAAATGTACCAAAACAAAAATACATAATGCATTGATTTGTAAATTTCATAAAGAGACACGGTAAATATTTTCGTTTAATTTCACCTTTATTTAACCAGGCATAAACAACTAATTCTAATTTACAGTGCTGACCTTGCAAGCAACAACAGGTACCGTATTTTCTGCCCTATAAGTCGCATCAGTCCAAATATGTGTAATAAAGTGGAAAAATCCATAAATATGTTGCTTCGCTGTATACGTCGCATCTATTATGCGTCACCACTGACGCGTCGCGTTTGCTATGCTTCGCCGCTGACAACCCGGAAATGTGGGACAGTGTTGTGCCAAAAATTGATTGTCTGCCAAATGGTGGCCGCTGGGGCGTGCACAGGAGGAGTTCAACAAGAGTAACACTTAAAAACAATTATTTCTTTGCTCGAAATTATAGTAAATGTGTCTCAGTCTTAACGATTGGCAAATCAGCCGCATTTCAAAAGTACTCGATACCTCGGTGCTCCAGGAGTGCGCAGACAGGGAGGAAAAAAGGATGGAGGAACGCTGCACACTTCTTAGAAATTTTAAGATAAGCACCTAAAAACAATTATTTGTTTGCTCGACTTTATAACAAAGGTTTGTCTCATTTTAATTTTTACTTAATAAATGCACTTCAATGGTCAAACTAGCTGCGTTTCGTCGGGGCGGTGCAGCGAAATGAAGCCGATTTGACGGTTGCTCCACGTGAGCTGGACGAAGGTGGCAGGGTATGGCAAGCCGATTGTGTCATTAATAGCCATGTTTACCTATTCCAGGATACAACGGCATGCCATACAACTCTGGTGCCATCTAGCGGCTGCAAATGGTAGTGTTCAGTCTTTCAGTCAGAATGAATGAAAACCGTCATATCTCAGTCAAAAATTAGTTCATAAATATGTTGCTTCAGAGTATAAGTCGCAGGGCATGTAAATTATGCAACAAAAAAAAGGTGACTTATAGGGCGCAAAAAATACGGTACTTGGTAGAATCAAGAGAATTTATTAAATCTTTTTTCAGCATTTTTTTCCAATTATGAAATCTTTCCTGAGCCCATGCAGCGATATCTAGAACTGAGCTGTTTTAAGGCAGTGCTGCCTGAAGATCACAGGCTTAAAAATTCATCTAGCCTCGATATGTGCCCCGAGATTTCTTGAAATGCTTTTTACACCATCCTGAACCTGCTGCTGGACTGATAATTTCATATGATGTAACTTTTTTGTGATTAACTTCACATTTCATGTTTATTTTTTGTACTGCTTACTTTTTGCCCTAATTTGCTGCCAAAATTCAAAATTACCCATTTGTACATTTTCAGTTTAATTTACATTTTACACATTGTGTTGGAACTGGGATTGTATCCGTCGTTATTTTGATAGTTTTTCTTGAACAGGGTTTTAAATGTTGGCCATTTCAGAACTGTTGGATTGTCACCTCCCATTCTTGTTGTACTTTTATACGAATCCATTTGTCCTTAATTCCTGCTCCACCAGAATTCCACCAAATGCAAAGCTGATCTTTGAAGTTGAGCTGGTGTCTGTGGATTAAATCTTTTGCCTGCATGTTCAGTATTTCTAGAATTTCCCCCTGAAGACTTTAGTTTTGGACTGCACTAAACGCAGCTCTGACGTCTGCTTTGTCTCAGGTTTAATTTACCTATAACCAATTTTCAGTTTTAAGTTCGGACCGATAAGATTGCTTGTACATATGAGACCATGAAACTTTTTGTTTTTTTGCATGTACAATTTAAATAACCAATAAAAATGATTTCAGTTCATACAAAGAACGACTGGTTTTAATTTTACACTTTGGCAGTTAAAAAGGTATTTAAGTGGTTCTGTGAACCAGGCATTTCACGACTATAAACAACTTGTCTAGTGTGTACCAAGTTCCTACGTGAAAAATGAGAACATGGATGCAACATTTAGATGTTCTAAAGAAAGCCAAGCTAACTTTTAATGCACATTTAATTTGATAAAACTAAATAAACCAAAGTTGGTGAATATGGGGGTTGGTAAGCAACAACAGCTCCTGGTTGGCTAGTGATCTGAACTTTCATGAATATGCCACTCAAAGCCAAGTCAAACTTTTTATTCTGTACAGGACAACATTTCACTTGGTAAAAACTGACAGGCGGTGCCGTTTCTCCTTTGGGTCATCGAAGCACTTAGGAGTTTGCGTTGGGTCCCTTCTTCTTTCCGAAGGTGGGTACGACGTTCACAAAGCGCCTATTGTACTGGATACGACGCTTAGCACGGCCAGTCTTCTTCTTCTTCTTCTCCTGCTTGTCAACCTGGATGAGTAAATGAAATGGGTAATTATTTAGGAAAATGTGTCATAAATGGAGTTTCAATTATCTCAGCTAACGCAAGAAATACCCGATTATGTACACATTTTAAAAAGTTACATTGCTAAACAGGTTACATTAAAGAACAGTTTGTAATATAGTAATAAAATTGAACCCCTAAAAATAAATACTTACTTTAGGAGTCTGTCCTCTCACTTTTCCAGCACGAGCCAGTGAACCGTGCACCTTACCTAGAGAAGGAAAGCGGAACCAAACACGTCAAAACAGTGATCCTAACAAATTTTGCATTACAAAAAAGTAGCCTTTTGTTTAACGCAGCTCGCCACTTTGTGAAAAGTTCATGTTGGCACAAAGTACATGCACGGAGACATTGCATTTATGAACGGACCTCCAAGCAGCCTGCCAGCCACCTCCAGGGTACAATGCTCCGACACGCCGCAGGACGCCAGAGAGGCTTCATCCTCCAGTGGGCAACCAGCAAGCAGCAGGACCTGATCCTCAACAGAGAGTCCTTCCAGAGACTGGACGTGGGCCTGAAAGACACGAGTCCAAACATTTTCAGAACAGACCCTTTGTGGACTTGTCCCTGTTAAGTGTTCAACTTCACATACACAGTGATTTTAGGCTTTGAAGCCGCCTTCAGTCTGAACTTCGTACCTTGATCTGGCCAACAGTCTCCTGTCCAGTTACCTCAAGGGTGTGAGTGTTCTGGGCACGCAGAAAGAGCTGCATCTTGACGCTGAAAGAGCACAATTTGTTTTACTGGGAACATTTTAAAACTGTTCATTTGAAGCAGTTCCGCTCATTTTAAGTCACCCCCTCGGTCTACACACACCCTGGTTAATCAGAGCGCGTTACTTCTGACAAGTTGTTTCTGCCTTCGAAAACAAGATGTCTGCCGTTTTTATCATTTGCGGAAATCGGCATATTTTAAAACAAAAAGTGTGAAATATTGGCATACACCCTACCGCAAAATATACGTGTACAGCAAACCGTGGAAAAGCGACTTGCATGTGAAGAAAAGTTCAGTAAAGCGATAAACAAGGCCTCAGACCGAACGAGCTTTTTCAACTCTATGCTAGTTCAATTAGCCGCATGGACCATGCGTTTCGGAAAAGCCGCTTAAAGATAACGTAAAATACATTTTACAATAAAATATGGGGCAAAATAAGTGATAACTAAACATCTAAATACTATATTAGCAAAATAAGACTTGCTTGGCCTCAATTTATTAACGTTTTTGGGTGAACAAACGAGCCTCTCTCACCTCGTTTGACGCTAGTCGTTCCACACGAAGCATAAAAAGGACTGTTCGAGGGAGCAACACTGCGCATGTGCAGAATTACGTAACACTCGGCGGAAGTGATCACTTCGTCAATCGTTTTTTTCAAAATACATTAAACTTGTATTTAATATAATGAAAAGATAAACATCTATACTTATATTTACTGTGAAGATAAGGGTGAAGGAATGCCTCTAAACTGTTACCCCCATAGCACGTTTAATGCTAAAGGTAAAAAAATGTTTTATTTTCACTCGTTCTCAATTTGTATGCATCCCGAGTCTATTGTCATCACGCTGTTAAAATCAGGTCTCTCTTGTAAATGAGTCCCCGAGACTCAGTGGAATCAACCTATATAAATAAAGGTTGAATGAATAAAAAAAAAAACTTAAGCGCTGTTGTCATTGTCGTTTCTATACAATAACAAAATTGGTTCTCTGCATTTAATCCAGCAAACGTGATACACCCAGGTGGAGCAGTGGACTGCTATGCAAGCACCCAGGGAGCAATAAGGGATTGGGCGTCTTGCTCGGGGACACCACAGCATGTGGGCATGTTGGGGAGTTGAACCGGTGACTTTCTGGTACCAGGTTGGCTGCCTTACCTCTACCATTTCAGCCCCTATATGTAATTTATACTTCTTTTATTCACATAACTACATTTTCCTTAAGTCAGAGTCAGAGTTTCTTTATTGTCATTCGCACCTCATGTGGTAC